GGCGCAGAATGTTGTCCTCCTCTTGCGTGATGCAGGGGTGCATCGGGAGGACGCGCCGTGGTGTTGCCGGTGCTGGGGGAGCCGAGGCTGCGGTACAGGGTTACGGTTGGGGGTCCCTCACCCGGCAGAGCTGCGCAAGGTGCCGGCGCACAGGGAGGCCTGGCTCTCCCCCAGGCCCCACTAAGCTCCCTGGAATGTTTCTGGTCCTAATTTAAATAAAAATGATCCTTTTTGAAACAGGAAATTATAGACATATTTTGGGCTGTTGCTCTGGAAGCCCCTCCCTGGCTGGAGCGGGATGGGGCCGGGCTCCCTCCGTACCGCGGGGGGTTTAACCCCCTCAGCAGGGACCGTGCCAAGCCACCCTCGTCCCCACGCTGCAGCCGGGCAGAGGCAGTGCCGCCGTGTCTGGGGGGGCTCTTGGTGCTGCGGGGGGGCCGGTGGACGGTGGCACAGCGTGGCCGGGCATTGGGGACGGGGTGTGAAAACACCCCCCCCGCCGTGTCCCAGCTTTGCTCCCTGCACGGGGTAGCCGGGCTGGCTCAGCTCCACGCTTGTATTTATTTATTTACCGGCAAAATTCCTCTGGCAGGGCCCAGGCATGCGTCGGCCGGGCAGAAATATTCCAGAAACGCCTCTGATTGCTCCAGTGCTTCGACGGGACCACAGGCATTCGGTGGCTGCGCCGGCAGACCCTGCGTGCCATGCTCGACTACCGGCCACGGGTGCCCTGGTCCCTGGAGGTCGCTTGTCCCCAGGGTGTGAGGCCACTGTGGCACACGTGGCTGTGTATCGGTTCTTTGCCACCGCACCGGGTGATTCTGTGGGGAGACAGGGGAACATGGGGTGAGGGCTGCAGGACTCCCGTCGTACTGGAGGTGCTTTCTCCTTTTGTCCATGCTTCCTCCAGGTGAAGCTCTTGGGTTGGCTCTTCTTCTGCCCTCACCGTAGGGTCAGGCATCCCTGACGTGGGGGTCCCCGAAGAGCCCTGGCGAGGTGTCTTGTGTTTGGCAGGCTCGTCCGTGGGGTTGGTGCATCTCCGCTGAAGTTCCCAGTGGAGGAATGAGAGGAATCTGCTGGCCAGGCAGAAACACTGCCGTGGCTGCGCGGCCGGACTGGGTGTCTCAATGGAGATGGACTGCGGGAGGCGGGCTTCTCCCTCCTGGGTGGCTCTGTGCCCTGCCTTGGGGATGCTCGGGATCCCCCGGCAAGGCAGGACCACGTTGTGTCGCCCGGGTCTGCGCGGGTTTAGCTTGTTGTGGAGGGGGCTGTGGCCAGTGCTCTCGCCAAAGCTTCTTTCCTGCCGTCAGAGGATGTGACTGCGACTTTTTGCTAATAACCCAGTGGCTGCCACCTGTGCTACCTGGGGACACCGCGGGCACCCTCCACCACATCGTGCCACCTCTACCGAGGGTATTTGCCATGGCCTCTCCCTGATGCCATGCCGGCCCCAGGGCAGTGCTGCGAAACCTGGCGTTAATGTGGGCCAAGAGGGACGTGGCCCCGGTGCTGGAGTCCCCAGCATGGGGATTTCCAACCCACCATCCCTCCCAGTGAGGCTGGGACACCCTGCTCCCCCCGGGAGTGGGCTTTTGGCTCGTGCATGTCTGCGTCGTCGGGGTCAGGAAGGGACCTGCTCAAGCACCATCTGGGGACCCCGGCGTGCCGCTTCTCCTCCATGCCGACGGCGTGCCTGGCTCCCTGCCACCGGCCTCCTCCCGGCAGGCCCCGGGGGGGGAGGCCCCCCGGCCCCTCACCCCGCTCCCGCTGTTTCCAGGGAGACCTCGGACCTCCGGAGGCAGCTTTGCCACGAAAGTGGCTTTACCGTGGGCTGCCACGCTGTGCCCGGGGGGGCTGCTGGGCTAGCACGTTTCCCTGGTACTGGCCCTCACCTTGGGGTGGGGGGGACTGTTCATCCCCAGGAGCATTTTGGGGGACTGTTGGGTTTGTGGGAAAGCAAAGGGAGGAGTAAGTGGTGTTGGGGCTTCACTGCCCGGCACGGTGCCGGACATGGCAGTCTGACACCGGGCACGCTGCGGCAGGACCCCGGGGTGCAGGAGCGTGCAACCCCATCCCTCGTGGCACAGGACCCTCCATGGCTCCCCCCAGCCCTGCAGCTGCGCTCAGCCCGGGGGCGTCTTTCCCCGCTCCCCCCGAGGCGGGCGGTGGGATGGAGGCCAGGCAGTTCCCCCCGCGGCGCCGGGCTGCCGCCAGCCCACATCACTTCCTCCGGCGGCGGTGACGGTGGGGGGGGGGGGGGTGGGA